GTCGTTCGCTTTCAATGCAGCAATGAAGTGGAACGCGCTACCGCTTGAACTCAAAACCAGCGAGTCACTAACATCTTTTAAGACTGGCCTCAAAACATTTCTTTTCAAGTGTCAATTTCCATCTTAAGCGCACAGAGCATTTATTAGTGAATGATGCGCTATATAAATGCAATTATTATTATTATTATTATTATTCGATCCTTATCAAACAAAGTGTTATCCACAGCCCTGTTATACTTAATACTGGTCTCCAGGCGGTTGCAGTACGACTGACGTTACATGTTGCGTTCACATTATGCTCATTGTACTTCTCACCGTCTTCAACTCTTCGGAAGTCTGACCTTCAAAATTTATATGACCAACTCCCAAAACCTTGTATCATTATGGGAGATTTAAATGGCCACAACCCGCTCTGGGGTGGTACAACAACTAATGCCAAAGGTAAACTATTAGAAGACTTTTGTTCAGATAATGATGTATGCATATATAATGATGGTTCGAGCACATATTTACATCCTGGCACAGGAACTTATTCAGCCCTTGATTTATCAATTACAGACTCAGACTTATTGAACGAATTTGAGTGGTCAGTTCACGACGACCTTTGTGGAAGTGACCATTTCCCAACAATTCTCAAACCCGTGAATCCATCTGATGTTCCTCCATCATCAAGATGGAACTTTAAGAAGGCTAACTGGCCTTTATATGAAACTTTCTGTGCTGACAAACTCAAACCTGAACTTTTTCATGATCTTCCTGATGCCATCAAATGTTTTTCAGATGAGCTCAGACACATAGCTGACAAGTGTATCCCCAAATCCTCTGCAGTTCCTCATGTACGTAAACCATGGTTTAACGCTGAATGCAAACAAGCTCGCAAGGCACGGAAGAAAGCTGAACATTCTTTCCGTCGCCATCCTATGGTCCACAATTTAAACAAATTTAGAATTTTAAACGCCAAAGCACGGCGTACTTTTAAACAAAATAAACGCCAATCTTGGCGAAACTATGTCTCAAACATCAATTCGCGCACGCCAATATCAAGGTGTGGAACATGATTCAGAAAAATAAAGGTAAGGGCTCTAAATCTAGCATTAAGCATCTAAAAATGGAGATGAATTATTAACTGATAAATCTGACATAGCAAATAAACTTGGAGAAACTTTGGCCAAACATTCTTCCTCATCAAACTATGTACCTGAATTCCAGAAATATCAAAGACAGCAGGAAAAGAAATCTATTAATTTCAATTCAGACAATGGGGAAGACTACAATGAAACCTTTTCGATATATGAGCTTCATACTGCTCTTGACCAAGCTCACGATACTGCTTCAGGAGCTGATGGTATACATTATCAACTCCTGAAACACTTACCTGAATCATGTTTAGAGACGCTCTTATCTATTTTTGATGTCATTTGGACATCTGGACAATTTCCTTCGTCGTGGCGCGATGCTATAATTGTGCCCATCCCTAAACCTGGACGTGATCATACTGATCCTTCCAATTATAGGCCAATTTCATTAACTAGCTGTGTTTGCAAGACCATGGAACGCATGATAAATAATCGACTTGTTTGGTACTTGGAAACCAATAACCTTATAACTAATATACAATGTGGTTTCCGTAAAAACCGTAGTACCATCGATCATTTAGTGCGCTTAGAATCTTTTGTGAAAAATGCCATAATTAATAAACAGCATGCAGTGTCGATCTTTTTCGATTTAGAAAAATCATACGACACCACATGGAAACATGGGATTTTAAAGGATTTACATGACTTTGGATTACGAGGCCGTTTGCCTCACTTTATATCCAACTTTTTAAATGACAGGCAATTTCAAGTCCGAGTGGGTTCCACCCTGTCTGACCATTACAATCAGGATCAGGGTGTCCCGCAAGGCAGTATTTTGTCTGTCACATTGTTTAGTATCAAGATAAACAGTTTATCAAAGGTTTTAAACGATTCTATTGATGGATCACTTTTTGTGGATGATTTTAATATTTCTTGTCGCGGTAAGAATATGCATACTATTGAACGGCAAATGCAGCTGTGTTTAAATAAAATACATAGATGGTGTCTTGAAAACGGCTTTAAATTTTCTAAGTCCAAAACTAATTGTATACATTTTCGTAGAAAATATAAACCGCATAAAGACCCGGAACTGTTCCTCAATGGCACTCCCATCAAAATTGTGAAGGAGGCCCGGTTCTTGGGCTTAATTTTTGACTCGCATCTAACTTTTCTTCCCCATATCAAGTCACTAAAAACTAAATGCTTGAAGGCACTTGACTTGTTGAAAGTCGTTTCCAATTCTAAGTGGGGAGGGGATCAAGCTACCCTCCTACAATTATATCGATCATTGGTACGTTCCAAACTTGATTATGGCTCCATCGTTTATGGTGGAGCCTGCACCAGTAATCTCAAACTTTTAGATTCTGTCCACCACCAAGGTCTAAGACTATGTCTTGGTTCCTTTAGAACTTCACCTGTTGACAGCCTTTACGTCGAGGCTGATGAGCCATCTCTTACACAACGCCGTATAAAATTAACTTTACAGTATATTACAAAACTTTATTCCAATGAGTTAAACCCTGCATATAACCGTGTCTTTAATCCACTATATGAAGATCTGTATAACAAGAAGCCTTCTCTTGTTCCGCCTCTTGGTATAAGAGTGAAACCTTTCCTTTCTGCTGCTGGCATTGAGCTAGAACATATAGCTCCTTCCCGTTTTCTTTCTTCTCCGCCTTGGCAATTGGTTAGGCCACAAGTTGACCTAACATTAACTACATTTAAAAAATCAGAAACAAATGAATTGCAGTATAAACAAGAATTTAGTCAATTAAGAAATAAATATAATACATACAAATCCTTATTTACAGATGGGTCCAAGGATGGTGGCGCAGTGGCATGTGCCACTGTCATTGGATCCCGAACAATATCTCTAGAATACCGGATAACAGCTCTATATTTACAGCAGAAGCAAACGCCATCGTAACAGCTCTTAAATATATTAATAAACACCGTAAATATAAACAATATATCATCTTTTCAGATTCTCTTTCGTGTCTTCAGGCTATTAAAAATCTTTCTTGCAAACATCCACTTTTATTAGAAATTATTGAATTGTACAATGAACTTGCTACTGGCCAATGCGACATCGTCTTTTGTTGGTTACCCAGCCACGTTGGCATTTCTGGGAACACAATGGCTGATATTGCTGCTAGGGCAGCACTCAACAAATCTGTGACACCACTTCTGATCCCATACTCTGATTACAAAGCTGCTATAAGATCTTATATCCGTGATCTGATGCAACAGAAGTGGGACACCCAAGTAGGTATCAATAAATTACATGCAATAAAACCCTATATCGGTTACACTTACTTGGGTTGTCAGTCCAGATTTGAAGAGGTCATTATGCGACGATGTCGTATTGGCCACACTAGATATACGCATGAGTACCTATTAAAAGGTGAGGATCCTCCGTTTTGTATCCCTTGTGATGAACGAATCACGGTCAAGCATGTCTTGCTTGACTGTGTTGAGTACTCCATCACAAGGGATATCTATTTCAAATCCCGACTATGAAGGATCTTTTTACTAATATAAGTCCTCATTTAATTATTGCTTTTTTAAAAGAATTAAATTTGTTAACAGATTTGTAAAAAGCTAAATATTTTATGATTGGCAGTTTGAATTAGTAACATAGATTGTTAGTGGCTGTATCCTCGAGGGGGGTTAAAGTACTGTAAAATTATTGTCCTCCTGAGAGGATACGTAAGTCCCAAAACATTCAAAGTAAATTTCAACTTTCCGTTTTTTAATCGTAGAATATTTGTAATTTTAATGTATGGCTAGCTATGTCTTAATTGCTAACGGCTGAGGGGATGATATAAATCCAGCTAGGGCCCATGCAGGAAGCAAATGTACTGTAAGTCCCCATGGTCCCTAGTATGGTGATCTACCTTCAGCTGTTAGCGATCTATAGCCCATTTTTAGATTGTGTTGTCCCCTATGGTTAAAATGTTTTAGATTCAATTACTAGTTTTACATATATATATCTGTGATACTCTAGTTGCTTTACTGTCCTTCGATGACAGGTTATATAATATATACATATTCCATTACAATGTAAAATGTTCTCGTCACGATATGGCTGAAATATTGCCGATGTGACGTTAAATATTAACTCACTCACTCACTCACTCATATTTCACACACGCTCTAGGTATGACCTAGTGTATGCTGTCTGTCTCATTACGCTACACGGCGAAATAAAATGATTCTGTTGAATGCTACCACAAATGAATAAAAACAAAATGCGAATATTAGAAATAAAACAGGCTAAAGTCTGCAACAATGTCAGGCTATTACCTTGTTCGAGGAATGTATCCATCAATATCCACTTCCGTTTAGTCCCGATTTTGACAGTGAAAACTTGCAACTTGGTTTTCCTTCCAGAGGCTGTCTAAACAGACTTGACTCACTCATTAATTAACAAGGCAGTACGCCTTGTTAATTGGTGACTCTTAACGGCCTTGACGCATTCATCAATCAACAAGGGATTAGGTTCTGGGGCGTGCAAAGAACAATCATTTACCATCAACCACCAGTTATCTCCCCTTGTGGACATTTCCAAAATTGTAAATTTTTGGAATTCTCATATTTCCAAAATTGGAAATGTCTTGGAAACATCATCTTTCCAAAATTGGAAATGTCTTGGAAACATCATCTTTCCAAAATTGGAAATGTCTTGGAACATCATCTGTCCAAGACAATTCCAAGCTTGTAAATGTGGACTTTTTTTCCAGGGCAGAAAGAAGACACTATAAACGAGGTTTCTTAAGCTCTGCACATTGCTAGTGCGGGTATTGTGCATTGTGGAACATTAATATGTTTGATATAAGGAGCTTGTGTCGTGGTGTGGAGCTTCGAGCTTGATGTGTTGTATGGAATTTATCATCGAACTTTCATGGTTTGTTGGACGTCAAAATGCCGAAGAGAAGGATAACAGATTATTTTACAAATGAGAACCAGAATAAAATATCACTTGTCAGCGATATTGAACCATCAGAGGCAGGCAATCGAAATATCGAAGCTATCGATGGTTTTTCTGAAGATACGATTGATGTTGCTGAAAATCTTGACCAAGCAGACGAAGCGGAAACAGGGGCTACAAGGCCTAGTCAAGTGGTTGATGACACAGTTAAAACTAAATGGGTACACAAGTTTCAATCGTCGTGGTTATCTACATATCCTTGGCTTTCTTACGACAAACAGAACGACACTATGACTTGTAACATGTGCATTCGTTCAGGAAAAAGCAACACTTTCACGGATGGATTTTGTAACTTCAGAACTTCGACGCTGAATAGACTCATGAGATCATCGGAGCATAAAAGTCATTAAAGGGACGTTATATTATCAATCAATAAATAATTTTGAGATAACTTAATTTCATTTTTGTGAAACATTGAAAGTCTTTTCTGTAAACGATGCAGGTAAGTACAAAGTAAGGTTTCTTTTGTATTAGGGGAAAGGGGGAGGCATTGCATGCATGTGACAGTTGTCCGTGTGACAGTTGTCCATGCAACTCGAGGGAAGGGGGGTGAAGTTTCCAAAAAGTTACTGCTCCCTCGACCAGGCTGGTAGCCTGGCGCGCTGGAGCTTCTGCCCAATTTTTAAAAGAATTTTAAAAAACACTTAAGTTTTTGGTTCCTTTTAAATCTTACTCATTACCATGAGGCTACAAATAAAAAGAAAAATACAATATGTCAAAATAGAGTGTTATATTTCCAGAATTATATTTTCTTCAACATTCATGTAAATTATTGTGCTCTACTGTATTTATCGTGCTACCTATATATCACCTGATGGCTGATTTATATTCATATTCCTTAAGTAATACAAATTTGAATTTGCTTACCAAGTGTAAACATAAGATGTTTTATTGCTTATGTGGCAAGGTTGATTTGTCAGGTGATATGTTGGTCTGATAATGATCTCATTTGTGTTACAGGATAGCAGGCTGAGGGAGAGCATGACGACTTGTACAGAGACAGCTGTCTCCAAAAAGTATGAAGCAATACTTGTAGCCATGCAGGCCGTGTACTTTATGGGAAAGGAAGGCATTGCAACCGCCAAATACCCCAAATGGAATTTTAAAGTGAAATGAACTGTCCAGCAATTCTAGAACTAAACTGTGGTAGCAATGCAACCTATATGTCAAGACATTTTTTTGATGAATTTCAGGTAGAATTGTCTTCTGTTATTCAGCAAGACTTAGATGATCTTATGCTCAAGAGTGAGTTTATATCTGTAATGACAGATGGAAGCACTGATATTTATGTAAATAAGAAACTGGTTGTGTACATCAAACTGTTGAACAATGCAGAAGTTGAAACGCTTTTCTTAGGCAATCTGCTTCTGAAGGAAGCGAGTGTGACTGCATAAGTCATCATCAGTGAGTTCAGTTGTATCTAGAGAGGCATGGAGTTTCGATGCCTAAAGTCATTGCTTTTGGCAGTGATGGAGCTTCTATAATGACAGGACATAAAAGGGGTGTAGCAGCTAGAATTAAAGAAGTCAGTCCTCATTGCATTAACATTCATATTCATTGCATGGCACACCGCCTTAATCTGTGCACTTCAAAGGCAGCAAAAGCTGTTCCTTTCATCAAAAAGACTTTTGAGAAATCATTAACATCCTTCTACTATTACTTTAAACATTCAAGTTCAAGAATTGTATCACTGTCACAAATTCAATAAGAAGACAAAGTCATCAATATCCCCCGCAATGGCAAAATACTCTTCATGATTATGTCTACGAGTTATGATTATGTCAAATATTTAGGTGTGCATATAGAAAAGTGGAAGGAGAGTATTGAAAGGTTTTGAAAGTTCTGCTCCGGAAAAGAGCACAACCACCAATTTCAGTCTAAGTCAAATTTGTTGCCATGGAAACGCCAAAAATATTTTATTCAGAATTCCAAAACTACCAAAAGGCACAAGTACATCACCAGATCTATGTATGTGCCAAGTTTGGTGAAGAAATAGTGAACAGTTTTAGAGTTCTGCTCCGGAAAAGCGCACCACCACCAATTTCAGTCTAAGTCGAACTTGTTGCCATTGAAACGCCAAAAATATTTTATTTAGAATTCGAAAACTACCAAAAGGCACCAGTACACCACCAGATCCATGTATGTGCCAAGTTTGGTGAAGAAATATTGAACGGTTTTCGAGTTCTGCTCCCGGAAAAGACAAATGTGCACGGACGGACGGACGCACGCACGCACGGACGGAGTCCATTTTAATACCCCCAAAACGCGTTGCGAGGGATAAACAGTTCTTGAAAACCCAGAAGTAAAACTTACAGAAGTCCATCAAATTCCTTGGTTTTCTTTCTACAATGCTCTCTCAGCTGTCTACCACAATTGGGTAGCACTTGTCATGTTTCTGAAGAAACAGAAAGACAGCAAGGCCACCATGGAAAATATATCAGACTACAGATGTGTCTACACTTTACATCTGATGATGGATGTGATATATGCTTTTACACAACTAAATATGGTCTTTCAGAAAGTCAACCTTGACATAGCAGCAGTGAAGCCAGCAGTAGAAGGGTGCCTGAACGATGCTAAAATGGCAAAGGATGGCAATACTTACTATCAGAAAATGTTCAAGGAATACACTACAGTTGTAGAAAAGCATGTTGCTTTTAGAAAACAGAAGCTGGGTTATGGAAATATTAAAGAGACACAGGCTGAATGTGGTAAGATCAGGAAATATTTCATTGATTCCTTGACAAGTGTAAGGTAGAGAGAAGATTCCCCAGTTACTCTACAGATATTGCTACTTCCTCTGATATCTTTGGGTTGAGAAACCTCTCATTCCTCTCAACAGAAGAGCAGCAGGACTTTGGTAATGACAAATTAGAAATTCTACTGAAGCACTATGGTTCAGATCAAACTTGTGGGGAAGTTGTCCATGAAAGGAAGGTGGATCCTGACACGTGTAGACTGGAATGGAAACTAGTGAAGTCAATCGTTCTTGAGCAAAGGTATTCCAAGAAATAACACCCAAACCCTATGGAATATTCTCAGAACAAACCACTCTGAAACTCAACAGGAAATCCTCAGGTTGTCTAACATTGGTCTGCTGTTGCCTCTTCACACTGCTGACTGTGAAAGGGGATTCAGTGCTCAAAACAATTTACATACCTCTAAAACAAACACATCGTCAGCAGAAGCACTGAATAGACTTATGCTCATTCAACTTGAAGGGCCCCCATTGAAGGATTTTAACTTTAAAAATGGAAATCCAAGAAAGACAGAAGGATTCTCAGAAAGTAGAGATTTGACTTTCATCCCTTTGAAAAAACACAGAACAATTTAATAAACAATGTGAGTAGAAAACTTTACTTATGGTATTTTTAGCTGTAAAGTGTTTAAGAGTAACCATGAAGATACGTGGTTGTCTGAATTTCTCTTATTGGCCCACATTTTCAAAAGTTAAGGGCCAATTGGCCCCTTCCAAGGAAATCCTGGCTGCAGCACTGCCTCTTGGAATCTAGTCAAACTCAACGGCAGGTTGCTGTCTGCTTTAACGTGAGTCAGAGTGACTATTGGTAGGCTGTGGCAGAGATTTCAAGCCAATGGGACCAGGTCGCCCCAGTGTCACAACAGTCCGAGATGATAGGCACATGTGTCCTCCCAATATGCAGTCAGGCAGTTTGCAGACACCTTACAGCAACACCATTTACGTTTCAATGAACACACTATACCTGTTACCAACACATTATAATGGAATAGTCCAAATAAAAGCACAAGAATAAAACTGAAGCTATATTATTTACATCAATTTGAATTTTATTGCTGCAATATGAAAACAGATGATTTTCATAAACATTTCGGTTTGATCTTCTCATCTAACGGGACATTAAAACAGCGTTACGTAACATATACGAAGCAGACAGAACTTTTCTATGTGAAAAATGTAAGGATATCCAGGAGCTCCGTTCATCAATGTTTAAGGACAGCCGGAGCAGTTCGCCCAGCATTAACACAACGTCACAGGCAGACGCATTTGAGATGGAGAAGACACCATGACCGTTTGGATCACCATCAATGGTCTCGCGTGCTCTTCACAGGTGAAAGCAGATTCCATGATGGTCAGCAGAGGATTTATTGTCGCAATGAAGAGTGAATCACAAATGTAACTGTGGCCACGCAAAACCGATTTGGATGGGTTTGGGGAGGGAGAACTAATACTGGGCGTACTCCACCGCATCAGGTCGACGGTTACCTTATTGGGCAGCGTTATTCTGACGGGATTCTGGCTCCTATAGCAGTACCATTCCTGCGAGCGATGCATGGCTTTTATGATCGACCTCTTTACTGGAAGACGACAACGCTAGGCTTCATAGGGTACCAGAATTGTCCCGGAATTCCTTAGGCAGCAGGGTGTTGAGCCCATTGAGTGGTCAGCATGAACTCGGTCAACGTGTGTCCTCACGTCACCCAGCTGGATTTACATCCTCCCTTCAGCTGTTGGCGAATGTTAAGCAATTTAGCCACAAATTAAAACTACAAAAGTTCTACGATTAAAAATCTGTCAGTGAGTAAAATGGTGACGTTATGATCAAATCTTATACCTAAGAATTTGGCTTTTCTTGCTGTTTTTTAATACTTTTAAGAAATTGAGTTACATAATAAGAAGAGGAAGAGAGTTTAACAAAGGCTTCGCCAGGATTATTTGGAATATCAACTGTTTCAGTTTGTAAGACATCCCCTTTGATCTCATGAATCTTGTTCCATACCTTTGACATGGGTGTATGTGAAGCATGTTCCGCTCGACTGTGTATATTTCTCTTCCACAAGGGGTCTCTATTATCATTCATTATCATTAAAGGATCATTTTGCGAATGTAAGTACTAATTATTATTTTATTTCCTAAGGAAATAGAATGGTTTGATAAATTTAGAAAAAGTAAATGTTGTTTTAGCTTAGTTTAGCTTATGTTATCATAACTGAGTATTGGCGGCCACTCAGGGGGTACACGTACTGTTAAGTCATTGTCCTCCTGGATGATAGTTTGTTGGTTTGTTGTTTTATGCCTGACTCAGCAATATTCCAGCTAAATGGCAGCGGTGTGTAAATAATCCGGTCTGGGCCAGACAATCCACCGATCAACAGCATGAGCATCGATCTACGCGATTCGGATACGATGACATGTGTTAACCAAGTCAGCGAGCCTGTCTACCCGACCCTGTCAGTCGCCTGTTATGACGAGCATAGGTTCCTGAAGACTAATTCTAACCCGGATATTCACGGGTCGATATTGGCCAGGTATAGACAGTGATATAAACGAGTACATTTTCTCCAAACATACCCAGACTAGATATACAAAGCAGTACAACCAAATCATTGGGACATATAGTGATAACTATTTTGTCTCACACCTCACATTTACTTAGTATCTTCGGGAACATTATCTTGGGTAGGAACACAAATTAACCATAGCTTCTGCCCTTGGCTTGATAGCTCGCCTCTCACCTTTAGTTCGTATGAATTTAGTTGTGTTCAAATGAATAAACGATGTCAATGTCTGGTGAAGATGATATTAACGGCACAAATAGAAAAAAAAGACTTATGAAAGCTTGAACACGATACATTGGCATCATTAATGCATTTGAACACGACTGAAAACATATCAACCCAAGATAATGTTCCTAAAGATACTTAGTAAAGGTGAAGTGTGAGACAAAATAGTTATCCCTGTATATCACTGGACCCTTAAGGGGCCGGAAAGACTAAATTTCTAAGAATTTTCTTAGTTTTTATGCTTGTTTCCTAAAAATTCTTAGCTGAGAATTTATCTTAAGTAGCAATCCACCATGCGACTAAGCATAAATCTTAGCTGAGATATTTTAAAATTCTTAGAATTTTCTAAGTGAGAAACGCATGGGATTATGGGGTACAAATTTATGCTAAGCATTTTCTTAGATGACGTATTGGTAATCCCCGTATCTATTAATAGCATAGTAACTTTGTAACGCTCCTCGCATGGAGATGGAGAATGGAGAAGAAAACTACAAGAAAACCAAACTGGACGGCCGAAACTGAACGGCGTGTTTTTAACACGCCATGTTGAAGAAAGCAAGGCTGTGTTACTAGGCAAGTTTGGACCGGGCATTTCATCTGCACGGAAGAAGGAAACTTGGACTATTATAACAAAGCAGATTAATGCCACCTTCACAGCTAAGTATGAAGTGAGTGAGTTAAGATTTAAAGTCACATCGGCAATATTTCAGCCATATCGTGACTAAAACTAGTTCTAAATGTATAATACATACATATAAAATATATCAAACCCTGTCAACGAAGGACAGTAAAACCACTAGATTATCACAGATTGAGTTAAAACTAGCTAGCATATATCTTTAAAAGTAGACAATTATTTCTGGACAATACAATGTAAAATTGGGCTATAGATCGCCAACAACTGAAGGTAGATCACCATACTAGGGACCATGGGGACTTACAGTACCTTGGCTACCTGCATGGACCCTAGTTGGATTTACACCATCCCTTCAGCCGCTGGCGATTGTAAGAAATGTTAGCCAATATTAAAATGACAAGAATGATACGTTTATAAATCCTGGCAAGTTTAAATGGACTTTGAACATTTTGGGACTTACGTACCCTCTCAGGAGGACAACAATTTTACCCTACTTCAACCCCCTTTGAGGGTACAGCCACTAACAATCTCAGTTACTAATCTAAGTTACCAATAATAAAATAGGTATCTATTTACAAATCAGTTAACAAGTTTAATTCTTTTAAAAATGCAATAATTAAATGAGAACTTGTATTACTAAAAAGATCCTTCATGTGATTTGAAATAGATATCCCTTGTGATGGAATATTCAACACAGTCAAGCAGGACATGCTTGACCGTGATTCTTTCATCACAGGGGATACAAAACGGAGGATCCTCACCTTTTAATAGGTATTCGTGAGTATATCTTGTGTGACCAATACGACATCGTCGTGTGATGACCTCTTCAAATCTGGACTGACAACCCAAGTAGGTGTAACCGATAGTTGGTTTTATTGCATGTAATTTATTGATACCTACTTGGGTGTCCCACTTCTTTTGCATCAGATCACGGATATAAAATCTAATAGCAGCTTTGTAATCAGAGTATGGTATAAGAAGTGGTGTCATAGATTTGTTGAGTGCTGCCTTAGCAGCAAGTTCGGCCATTGTGTTCCCAGAAATGCCAACGTGGCTGGGTAACCAACAGAAGACGTTATTGCATTGGCCAGTAGCAAGTTCATTGTGCAATTCAATAATTTCTAATGTGGCAGGTATGAAGTCATGTAAGATTTGGTTCATTTGAAGTTGTCATTGTTCATAGTTTTAACGCAAGCAGTATCATTTTTAAGCGTTAGTCTATGGTTATTTTTAGATCTTGCCTAGTCCATTACGGGTATAAGGGGTGTCAAGAGATTGTGTCATCGCTTGTGTTGTGCCCTTTGACTTGCTTGGCCCCTTGTGTCGATTGTTTCTTTTAAAGCACTAAACACTACTTGCACGTCAGCCATTGCACTTCACTTCAATCCGATCGCAGTTCAGAGCACAAACAACTAACACGTCAGATCTAAAGGTAGAAACAATATTTCAAGTATTTTATATATGTTGTACTAAATTACAATGTTATTAGTGCTAATTAAATGTTCTTCATGATAAAAACATAGGTTAAAGTATATTTGTGCAATTGTAAATATACTGAGTCAAAAAAGAAACTTCACATTCTTTCTTCAGGGCACTATAAAAGAACAAGAGATGGTAAGATGGTTAAATTGGTATTATTTCATTGCTGAGATCTGTGTGATGTACTCGATACACTGACAGTGCCATAATCAGTTCCATTAGGCTACACCGCTGTTCCAAAACATGGGTATACAGAATGTCAAGTCAAAAGAATAAAAATGCGAAATTTCTCAGTT